ATGACGCTACGAGAATACATATTTGAATTTTATTTTCGGGTTTTAAAACATTTTTTTTTTTTTTTTTACGAATTAATAATACAAAATTAACAAGTGTGATGTAAATGCATTTGATGTCCTGAAAATTGCGTATATAAAAAAATGTTTTACAATACAACTAATGGCGGTGTAACGAAATATTGTTTGGGTATGCAAAATTATGCTAATAAAATGTTTTTTTTCTCCCCCTCTTCTCCTCTCGCTCCTCCGCGACATTAATGCGGTCGGGACAAATTTCAAACTCGCTTATCGACCGTCCGAAAAATAATACGCGAAACGCTAATAATACCATAACAGAACATCTGCTATGCCGTACACTTAATGATAACCCCTTGGGTTGTTCCGAGTCGAGCGTATTATAACCAGACGGTAGCTATTATAATAATATTATACAACCCGACGACGATCCGTTCGGCTATACATAATAATACGCAGCAGTATACGAATATTCATTCATCTAAAAATCGTATCATACGTGTTCTAATGTCCGACATTTTTTAAATTTAATTGTTGTTGTTTTTTTTTTTTGTTTTTCGAAAATTACTCATACAAATTATATTATTACAATACTGTTTGTAACACTGCGACGGTCGATCATTAATATTATTACCGTCCGAGATTACAATATTATTATGTAAACATAATATATAATTACTCCCGTACATAAATATACACAGAGTCTCATTTTCGGTTCAACCGTACAATTATGATTTTATAACGAATTAGAAATATTCCATTTCCCCCCTTCCCCCCAATCGCCGGGTTTCTCAATTCGTCTGCGATGGCCTATAGTGGCGTGTTTGCGGTTTTTGTTCAGGCTTGGGGGGGGGGCGCTTAAGCCCTTTTTTTAACATACCGAATTACGATTAAATAATATACACGATAAACCTTAGAATGTTATTTTAGTTTTCGATTCTGGATTACTAAGATATATTTTTTTTTATTATTTCTTCTAGTCTGTGGACACGTTTTCTCCTTGTAAACTTGCTCCGATTTTCACGTGTAGTAACTCTTCTGAAAGCTCAAGTTGTCTAGATGGAACTTAAAAAAAAGGTCATTTTTTTGATTTTTGACGTCATTTTTTTTAAATAAAAGCGCTTAAGCGTGAAAAAACGTAGACAATCGTACAATTTCACGATTTCATTATTTTATAAAAACACGGACGACGTTTTATACCAGAAAAATGATTTAATCGAAAAATCACAAGACACCTTTTTTGTTGCCTTTTTATTTTATTTTCTTACGGTAACATTGCTAAAATTTTTGAGCTTTTAGGGAATTTTAATTTTTGGAAGTTCATTTGTTATAATTCGGTTATAAGTACACGTAGAGACTTTAAAATTGGTAATGATACTTATATTGAACTTACGTAGATGGGGTAAAATTTCCAAATTCATCGGACGATTTTTTTTTTTTTTTTACAATGGTACTTTTTTTTTAATACTGTAGACTACTTTTATCCTAGAAAACTTGCTCCGATGTATAAATGTAGCACTTTTTCTGAAATTCAATTTTATCTACTTGATAAATACATAGGTAATTTTTAGATTTTCGAAACTGTATTTAATATAAAAATGATTAACTGGAATAAAATACGATTTTTTTCAAGATTTCGTTATTTGAAATAAGTATCTTTCACGTTTTTTAGCACAATTATGGCTCCAATTGAAATACAACAAGAGACTGTTTTTGTTGAATTATTAAACTTGTTTTTAATGATGCAGTTTTTTTTTTAATTTTCGAATAAGTTTTCATAATAATCAAAATAAAAACGTAGAAAGGTTTGGGTAAAAATAATTACGGCACTTCAAATTATATATTACCGAACTGCGCTCGGAATCGTCTTTCGTCAAGCAATGGTTTATCGTTGCTCACAGATATAAATGAAATAACCTTATGTATCCTACCTTCTCAACTACTCACTTGCAATAGTGGCCACTCCCCTTCTTCAGAATCAGCTCTTTTTTCTTTTGTAATTTTATAATCCTATTATTCTATACTGCAGTATTATAAACGCGAAAGTTTGGTTGGATGAATGTATTTTTGTTACCACTTCTCGCCCAAATTATACTGAACGGATTGAGTTGAATCTTTTCATAGACGTAGTTCTAGGCCAGAAATAACGTGCTTACTACTTTTTTTTTTATATCTTATTCAATTTCTAAGAGGTGGGACGGGTAATAAAGGATTATTGGTATCTCATTAGTACAAAAATTAAATTATTTTTGTTGATTTTCGAGTAACTTTGGTGATAAAATAATGATAAAAAATTAAAAGAAATAAAAAAATTGTACTATTAATATTGGTACTCGTAATGGTGGATTAATTTGGCGATAATGATGATAATATATCGATTTTTTTTTTTTTTTGTTACGAGTATCTAAATAAACAACATGGTATTTATTGTAATATTATAAACGGTCCAATCGTTTATGATCAAAAGTATTTGTAATTATTTTGGTATATTGATTGGGAATGTCTTCAGGTTTTCTGAACGTACAGGATAGTCAATATTTACAATAATTGTGCATTATATCGATCTAAACGTTTTAGTCGAATTGCTTTTAACCCAAAATAATAATTGAAAATACAATTTATTTTCAATATTATCTAATTTATTTTTCATCGCGGATGATAGCGTACCACTAGTGATATCGGTTTTGTTCTTTTTTAACAGGTTATTTGTCATTTTATAGGACCGACACAGTATTGGTACCATGATTTCTATCAGTAAATGTAGGCAATAGTAGAAATCGAAGATAGGTTTGCCTTCAAATATTACAATAATATCGTTAGGAATATGTTCCATTCGAATAATAAATCTTACCATTAAAACAAAAAGATAATGGATCGTCATGAACCATTTGTTTACACTTGCTTAACGGAATCTTTACTGTGTTATTTCCATAATCGACTACTGCCGGTAACGTTCTGTTATGGTTTTTTTACAACGAAAACATTTATATTACTTACTCTTCTTAGGAGAAAAGAAAATTACTTGGGTGCACCAAAGAAATATAATGATACAGTCGAACTTGGTTAACTCGAACTTCTTTAACTTCGATACCTCGAACTTTTTCCCCGGTCCCGAGAATTTCCTATTTAAACAATGCAAACATATCTTGTTTAACTCGAATATTCTCGTAAATAACTCGAAGTTTCGATTTTTATAACTATAAAACTATGATACGTATTTCCCGCATGTATGAGTATTGACTATCAAAAATGATATTAATAACTAGCTGTCGTTCCGCCCGACGATGTCCGTGCCGAAATAAATAATAGACGAATATCCCTTACACGGACGACTTTATTATTTATTTTTTTATTTTTTTTTTTTTTTTTTTTTTGTTTTAACTTTTGTTTTTTTATCCGTACAACAAAGATAACACATCAACAAGTTTAATTCGATTTTCGTTCTCAAGATACCGATAACCCCGTGACAGCCATCCTTTAGGGGTTTAATACGGGGCAAAAAGTAATCTATATAATATGTTGTTCCTAGTCTACAACTACATCTATACAAAGTCTTAGCTCAATGCGTTCATTATAATGTGGGCGAAAAGTGTTAACGAACATATACCCAAACAAACTTTCACGTTTATATTATAGTAGAATAGTTTACAGCAAGAGACTTATGGTGTGTGCTGGCACTATATACGACCGCGTTGTTGAATTATTATTCATTTGCATATTAAAATACTCGTACCTATTTAACAATTACTCGCTAGATGTTTTTCGAAAAAACGTTTACTGAATATTATTAGTGTTATATACACGCAGCTGGCATCATTTTTCCAAAAAAAAATAAACATACGTAACTTTCTTGTCAATTATTATCATACGCGAGTGACGATCGTCGTAAAAAACAAAAAACTTGTGAACAAGCGTAAACGTAACAAAAAAAAAAAAAAAATAATAATAATAACAATAATAAAAATTATGAGGTAAAAAATAATACTGTACCTACGGAAAAAAAACGATGACGACGTTGATTACGATATTACAGTGTTTTGTTCCCAGTGCGGGCGACCGCGAGGAATTTAAGAGAACGGTATAATTTCACGATATCGAGTTACACACACACACACACATACACACACACGCGCGCGCACACATTATTACAT